TTGAATTTTGGGGATGTCATTTTTATTGATCTAGAGTTATGCCCTTTACAAATGGAAAAATTGCTGATTTTTTTGTTTCTGTTCTCTAACTTCAGTTTATCTCAACCAAATGCTATGAATCATATACACAATGCTTGTTACCACAAAATACAGATCCAGTTTGAATTTTGGTCGCGTCACTTCAACCATTCTAGAGTTGTGCCCCTTTACAAATGGAAAAATTGCTGAAATTTTGGTTTCCTTTTTATACAACCGCAAAAAAATTTGCGGTCGTATATTGGTATGACGTTCGCATCGTAGTCGTCCTAAGACACATTGGTTTTCGCACTCTAACTTTAGTTTAAGTGAATGGATCTCTATGAAATTTACCCATAAGGTTTAATACCACAAAAGGAAGGTTGGGAATGATTTTGGGGGTTATGGTACCAACAGTTAAGGAATTAGGGGCCAAAAATAAGCATTTTTGTAACTTCCAGACATAACTTGTGTGTTAGTGTATGGATTGCTCTGACATTGTACCACAAGGTTTCATATCACAAAGGGAATGCTTGGATTGATTTTGGGGGTAATTGCCTCAAAATTTTAGGAATTAGGGGGCAAAAAACAAGCATTTTTCTAGTTTCATGACAATAACTTGTGTATAAATGTATGGATCTTTCTGAAATTGTACTACAAGGTTCCATATCACAAAGGGTAAGCTGGAATTGAGTTTGGGGGTAATTGCCCAAAACGTTTAGGAAAAAGGGGCCAAAAAGGGGTAAAAAATAAGCATTTTTGTCGTCGGCGGCGTCCACAAATATTCACTCTGTGGTTAAAGTTTTTGAAATTTTAATAACTTTCTTAAACTATCCGGGATTTCTACCAAACTTGGACAGAAGCTTGTTTATGATCATAAGATAGTATTCAGAAGTAAATTTTGTAAAAATAAAATTCCTATTTTTCCGTATTTTACTTGTAAATGGACTTAGTTTTTCTGCCGAGAAACATTACATTCACTCTGTGGTTAAAGTTTTTAAAATTTTAATAACTTTCTTAAACTATCCTGGATTTGTACCAAACTTGGACAGAAGCTTGTTTATGATCATAAGATAGTATCCAGAAGTAAATTTGTTAAAAAAAAAATTTCATTTTTTCCGTATTTTACTTATAAATGGACTTAGTTTTTCTGCCAGGAAACAATACATTCACTCTGTGGTTAAAGTTTTTAAAATTTTAATAACTTTCTTAAACTATCCTGTATTTGTACCAAACTTGGACAGAAGCTTGTTTATGATCAAAAGATAGTATCTAGAAGGAAATTTTGTTAAAATTTGTACCTGTTTATCCGTATTTTACTTATGAATGGACTTAGTTTTTGTTCCAGTTAACATTAAATACAGTCTGCAGTTAAAGTTTTTAAAACATTTATTAGATTCATAAACTATCCTGGATTTATACCAAACTTTGACAGAAGCTTCTTAGAATCAAAAGATAGTATCTAAAGGAATATTTTTATTGATTTTTTTCCTCATTTTTGTTGAGCCTGCAATTAACAGCAAAAGTAGGCGAGACACCAGGTTCCGCGGAACCCTTACGAATTTTTCTAGTTTCTAGACAATAACTTGTGTTCAATTGTATGGATCTCTCTGAAATTGTACTGCAAGGTACCATACCACAAAGGGAAGGCTGGGATTGAGTTTGGGGGTGATGAATCATAATGGGGTTCAAAAAATTGGGGGGGGGGGGATTTTTTTCTTCATTTTTTTCCTTTTTTTTTCTTTAAAATTTTCCATTTTAAATTGGTTATTTCTGATTTATATATAAAAGCAAAAAATAATGATATGGTTTGAATAGGTAAATTAAAAAAATTTAAGTTCTTAGACCACATTCATTCTGTGTCAGAAACCTATGCTGTGTCAAATATTTAATCACAATCCAAATTCAGTGCTGTATCAAGCTTGAATGTTGTGTCCATACTTGCCCCAACTGAGCAGGGTTCGACCTCTGCCGTCGTATCAAGCTGCACCCAGCGGAGCATTTTATTCTAACTTAAGTTAGCCTCAACCAAATGTTACAATGCTTATTACCACAAAAAACAGATAAAGTTTGAATTTTGGCAGTATCACTTTTTTTGTTTTAGAGTTATGTCGCTTGACAAATGGAAAAATTGCTAAATTTTTTGTTTCCATCCACTAACCTAAGTAAGCCTCAACCAAATGTTATGAAACTTATACACAATGCTTGTACCAATTCTTGTACAAAATGCCTGTACCAAGTCAGGATTATGACAGTTGTTATCCATTCATTATATGTGTTTGAGCTTTTGATTTTGCCATTTGATTAGGGACTTTCCGTTTTGAATTTTCCTCGAAGGTCAGTATTTTTGTGATTTTACTTATTACTTCAAAATACAGATCAAGTTTGTATTTTTTTGGGTGTCACACTTATTGTTCTAGAGTTATGCCCCTTTACAAATGAAAAATTGCTGAATTTTTTGTTTCTGTTCTCTAACTTAAATTTGCCACAACCAAATATTATGATACTTATACACAATTGCTATTACCACAAAACTTGGATAAAGTACAAATTTAGGTAGCGTCATTATTACTGTTTTTCAGTTATGTCCCTTTATAACTTTATATGATAGACAAGCGGGGGCATCATCTGTGTCCCATGGACACATTCCCCATTTGTTTACTCTTGAGATAGTCTAATATCTGTACTTTTTTCTTTTGGTATACAGATGATGAGATTATAAGCCTTGATTTCTTTTATTTGCATGATTCTTGTACTAATTAATTGTCAGAATAACTTAAGGATAGAGAAAATTGCCTAAAAAGTGAAGACCCTCCCCCTCCTTTTTCCCTTTCCAAAGACCTTCTTATCTTTGCACTATGACTTAAAAGACCTAAACCTAAATGTCCTAAAGTTAGAAGGATAAAGACAGATCTTGACAATGAAAATGCAGGTGATGACCTGCATTGAAGAAAGAAATCTCAGGTCATAACGCGTACAAACTTTTTCGAGCTGAATTTCAGTATTTAGGGGACATTTTTCTTATAATTTATATCAAAGTTTCCAAAACATGTCCACATGGTTAAGTAATTTAAAATTGTACATTTTATTATTTCATTGCACTTGGAGGCCATTGATAGAATTGTGTTACATTGCCTTTACTCCTGTTCATATTCAGTCCATGGCATACAATGTGCCAATTTGTGTTTTCTTTGCATGCATTTGTGCAGCTTTTAAGCAGTGAAACATTGCTGATGATGGGAGTTTTTAACGACCTTGACTGGCTATACAGCCCTCGCACGGTCGGATAAACATTGGAGAGGTTGATATTAGAGTATAATAAAATAAAGTTAAACAATTAAAGGAGGGTATAGATGAAAAAAGTAATTTTCAAAATTTTTTTTTTTAATTGTTCTAAGGTAAAACAATAGTAAAAGTATTATTTTGATATGTTTTGGCATTCAATTCATTTTAGATTTAATATTTTACAAAAAAAAAACATAAGTTTAAGGACTATATTGTGAATTGACATAAAAGGGGAAGTAACTCAAGTTGTTTTTAAAACAACTTTGAAATACACAAATTATTTACGACCTAAAGCTAAGGTAATTGGTGTTAATTAACAGTGTGTTTGACGCCAAAGCTGTCAAGTGAAGCCATGCACTGAAATGGGTCACTTGAGCTGAGTTTACACAGCTAGTTGAACTTCTTGTCCAGGAAGAATTACGAATTTGCCGGTATTTTAAAGAAATCAGTTTATATCTAATCAGTATGAAGGCTTAGGAATCCGGGTGAAAACGGGTTATTTTCCGAATTCCCGGGTTATTAAAATTGGTCACCCGGCCGGTATTCCGGGTGACCCCTCAGAATTGTGAAAATCTCAGGTCACCGGCAGGATCCGGGTCAATTGACATGTATGCTTTTTGTCATGAAACTACAGTAAACGTTGCAAATTGTGATCTTATGATCAATTGAAAGGCCGACCAATTCGCTATTTCAGAATCTAATGCATTCTGAGTAATATTTTAAAAATGTTCACCAAAACATTGTGATTGGTTTAAAACGTTCTAAACAAAGGGAATAAACCAATGACGTTATGTTATTTACATTTTGGTGTATAAAGATTGAGATTACCCACAGTTTTTTATATTCCGAAAAGGCGACTTCTTTTTACAAATTAATAGGATTGAGGATTGGTAACCAACATTTTTTTTGGGTAGATTTTGTGAAATTACATGCAGGATTTTGACTTGTGTTATGATCCTGATATCAGTATTCAGATTGAGGCATGAAAATCAGGATGATACTGCCAAGATTCGGATAGTTGACAGGTCGGGATTATACCATTGATATATATAAAAAAAAAAACAATTTGCATGAAATATTGGTGAATTGTTTATATCTATTAAAGTAAGCTCCCTTTATATTTTTATGAATTTTAGATTTTACGTTTCCAAGTTTCTGAGCTAGGGGATTATATATATATTAAAATAACCTCCCTATAGTTTTTTTTTTATAAATTTCTAATATGACACATAGGATTCATGAAAATTTATTCTTGGAAAAGGTGACCGGCTTATCATATGGGCTCATGGCACAGCTCTGTATTAAACTTTTGTTAACATTCAGCACAACTCAGTTATATAATATCATATGGTTTAAATGTATCCTTCTGTCCCATTAAAAAGTTTGTTTATACCTGAAATAAGCCACCATTTAGAAGCTAATTTGTCTAGCAAAATATCTTGTGAATTTATGAAATATAACAGCTACTATTATAAAACTAATTAGTTTGTGAAAGTTACATTCTTAGCATCTGTATAGTTTAATTTAGTAACTGCATCAGTTTATTTTAAATTGATCCATGTCTATATATAATATCTCTATCAGAAAGCAATAGTGATGAAGTTACATGCATGCATTATAAATATCAACTCATCTGACATTTGCCTCTCAGTAGTCTCTCATGTTTATAATTATAAAATGTAAAAATATATTTTTTGTAGGGGTCAATAATTAAAGAATGTACCTTTGAAATAAATCCAGTTCTTAAGCAAAAGCAGTTTAAAGGGAAAATTTTAAAGATGCTGGAAGCTAGGAATATCAACTTCAATAAAACAACATTGGAAATAACAGGCTCGTTTGAAGAAATGACTTCATTGAACCAACAAATTATAAATGATTTTGGAATAGAAACTGGTGTTTTTTCCAAAGATGAGACTGTTATAGCAGCAAAGCATACTAACACTCAAATGAAGTCAAATTGGAAACCAAAACCAGACAATAAATTCCAACATGTTGCTGAAATTAAAATTCCATACATGGAATACAGAATGCTTAAGTTTTTTTGTCCAGAGTGTCAGCTGTTCAAAGGTTCACCAACATACGATAATGGTGTACTGCAGAAATTTCTTCATGTAGGTGAAAGGGAAGATGAATTGAAGGAGATCTTACAATCCAAATCAATATATTTTCAGTCTTTGACCACTTTTGATGTTCCTATGCCTGAAGATTGGACAATTACTGATTTAAAATTGAAAGAGGTTGAAACTGAGTTGAACATTATATCTCCTGAAATATTTTGTTTCCGTTCAAAAGATGCAAAAACACTCACATTGAAGGGCAATCAGTATGAAAAACTACAAATGGCGAAGACAAAATGTGAATTCATTTTAGGTATTAAACAGAAAGGGAGAGGAGGTCGTAGAGATAGAGTAATTTCTACTGATCCTTCATATAAAAAGGTAGGAAATGAGCAGATGGGCAATAAATCATTCAGTCAAAGTGTGACTCCTTCAAGATCATCATTTTCTCAGAGCTTTAGTGGGGGATCCAGTACTCCATCAGCACCTCCTCCAAGTGCTGCTACTTTTAAAACTTCAGAAGGTTTATTGATCCACGTCTATGAAGGAAACATTCTTAATTTGAAAGTAGACTGTATAGTAAATGCCGCCAATGAGAGTTTAAGTCATGGTGGAGGTGTAGCAGATGTGATATCAAGAGCAGCCGGTTATGGATTTCAGCAGGAGAGTGATGATTACATTCAAAGACATGGTCAGTTGATGGTTACAGAATGCTGTACCACATCTGCAGGCAGTCTTCCATATCAGTGTGTAATTCATGCAGTGGGCCCAAGATGGTATAACTACACCGATAAAAGAAAATGTGCAAATGACTTGGAGGAAACTGTTAAAAACTGTTTCCATGAAGCAGAGAAGAAGATGCTGACATCTGTTGCTATACCAGCAATTAGTTCAGGTAAAATTCATTAAGCATCATATAGTGTTCAGAGCATATTAAAGTAAGTTGTTGTTTGATGACTTCATTGAAAAGTAAACATGGACAACCTGAACGAAAAAAATTCAAGTACAGATGTGTGGCTTGTACTTAAACAACACCCCTTATATAGTATTGGAAAGTTTTGGATCCAGCCATTTGATTAAACAATGCTGGGTTTATGTGATCACTTCTGATTTAATGACAGTGTGGAATTCTAAACTGAAAACATCATGAAACTAATGATGAGTATTAAGACATGCAGAAAGTTTTAACACCATTTCAATCATCAGCTGCAAACTGTTTGCATGTTATTTGCCCTATAAAAATAAGAAAAAAGAGGTTTGACAGGAATTAAATTTTCTTTCATATACACTTGCATTTAGTTTCTTTCTAAATCAAAATTTATGAAATATTATTATTAACATACGTATTAATGTGAAAAAAATCAGATATCAAATTTAAGCTGTAAATAAGAATTATGAAATTTAAAATATTGTATCAGTATTTTAATATGCTTATGTATGCCATTGAATACAATTCGGTACAAGTTGTATAGTGATATCAAAGTGGATTCTCACACTTTTCAAATATTATTATGCTATTTCTTTCCCAAGGCAAGTAAGAGTATACATAATGATAGTGTTAGTAAAGCAGGCGAGACATTTCAGAGTGTGCACTCTTGAATGTAATACTTGTTGTATTACTTAAAATCAATCATGAACACTGAAGTACATGAAGTAGGTGATACATTTTAAAGAGGGCACTCTTGTTATGATTTATATATGTTTTTTGTGTCATGTTCTAAATTTATTATATTTTCATATTATATTTAAGGTATATTTGGAGTTCCAAGAGAAGTCTGCTGTACCCAGTATTGTAATGCTGTGAAAAACTACAGCAATATTTTTGGAAGAGCAACTTGCCTTAGAGAAATTCACTTTATGGATAAGGATACTTTTATGGTTGGATTAATACAGAAAGAATTCAAACAAAACCTGAACATTGATCAATCATTCCAGTCTTCTGGTAGTAGAGTGTCAAACACATCTGGTCATTCATTGTCAAAGAATGATAATACACCTCAATTTACAAGGTCACTTTCAGATGATGCAGCAAAAGCAGGGAAATACTCTGGTAGTACAAATGGTAAAAATAGCAACCCAAACTCTACTGTTAAGCAAGAGAAATTCCAAAAGCAGTACATGACGGCCAAAGGGTTTAAAGTTCATGTAGTCCAAGATGATATCACTAAAATGAGTGTAGATATCATTATTTGCCCACAGGATGACTATTGCTTGAGTAAAGGTAGAATAGCCAAAGCCATAGCCAATGCAAGTAATGAAAGATATAGGACCGATGTTCTTGGTATGAAAACTGTGAAAAGGTGCGAGGTAAAAAAAATTGCAGCCTCACCTTCTACACTTCCTTTTAAGTATGTTCTTCATACAGTTGCACCGAGATGGGATAAGGATGCTGTAAAAGATAATGCCAAATTCATGAAGGAATTGGGTCTGACAATACGCAATATACTAAAGCACTGTAGTGACAGTAAAAATATATCAACTGCAGCAATACCTGTTTTAGGAATTGGTAAGTATTTTTATTCACCCTGCAAACAAAGTTTGGGGGTTGCATATATGAATCACTATCTCTGTCTATATGTCTGTCAATCCGTCGGTCCATCTGTTCCTCTTTGTGTCTGGTGCATAACTTTTGTTCGGTAAAACTTAGGATAACCAAACTAAATGTGTCACATAATAAGGTCAGGTTACTTTGACCTTGACTTTGACCTTTGACCACTATGACAGTAAAATCTTATCCAATTTGTGTCTGGCTCATAACTTTAAAACTTAGGTTAATGGAATTTTGTATGCAGTTGCATCTTGTTCTGGGGTGTGTCATATATACCAAAGTCCAATATCTTTGACTTTGACTTTGACCCATAGACAGAAAACCATATCTAATTTGTGTCCAGTTCATATCTTTTGTACCTTATGACTAAGGTTAACTAAACTGTTTATGCAGTTGCATCATGTGCTTAGGGTGTGTCGTATACAAAAGTTGGTTCACGCTGACTTTTGACCTCTATGATAGTTTTAAAAACCTTGTCTGATTTGCGTCCTGCTTATTACTTTTGAATCATAGAACTTAGGTTGACCAAACTTGATATGCTGATACATCTTTGAATAATGGTGTCATATATATCAAAGTCAGGTCACCCTGACCTTGAACTTGACCTTTGGACCCTGATTTGTATTTGTTGCATAACTTGTGTACTGTAGCACTTAGATGGACAAAACTTTGTATGCAAACTCATCATTCTGATCTTAAACTTGGCCTTGACTTTCATTTAAACCGGATTTTCGAAGGAAAAATTGGTTATTGATTTGGTGAAATAAGATGGGAGGCGGGCGGCTGCCAAACAGTGTCCATCAATAACATGAAAACGCGTCGACAAATTTTTTTTCAATTGAGATATGTTGTTTTTGTCATTCTTTAAGATATTGATTTGATAATTGGTATATAGTTTTATCATGACAAGTTACAGATCAATATGTCGGACATTAATTCAAAAACACTTTAACCAATATGCATGAAACTTTGTTGAATTGTTTATAACTATTGATGTGAGCTCCCTTTCGTTTTTTTATAAATTTCAGATATATCATTATGAGTTTTGGGGTTTTATTCATTAAAAAAGGGGGGATTTTCCTGTTTTCGGACAATAACTCAAAAACAATTTCACCAATTTGCATGAAACTTTTGTGAATTGTTCATATCTATTGACGTGAGCTCCCTTTTGTTTTTTTTAGAAATTTCGGATATACTGTTTGAGAGTTTTGGGGTTTTATTCACTAAAAAAGGGGGCATTTTCCAGTTTTCAGACAAGAACTCAAAAACAATTTCACCAATTTGCAAGAAACTTTGGTGAATTATTTATTTCTATCGACATGAGCTCCCTTTTGATTTTTATAAATTTCAGACTATACGTTTCCGAATTATGGGGTTTTATTCATTACAAAAAGGGGGATTTTCCAGTTTTCGGACAATAACTCAAAAATGCTTTCAGCATTTTTTATGAAACTTTGGTAAATTGTTTATATCTATTTTTGTAAGCTCCCTTTTGATTTTTATAAATTTTTGATTTTATGTTTCCGAGTTATAAGATTTTATTTGTTTATAGTCTGACAACAGATTTACTAAGTATTACGCTACAGCACAGTGTATTGCACAACAGCAAGAAATCTTTCATATAACCAATTTCAAGTTCTTTGACTACATTTATTCAGAAACCTATAATATATCAAATATTTAATTACAATCCAAATTCAGACCTGTATCAAGCTTGAATATTGTGTCCATTTTTGCCCCAACTGTTCAAGGTTGGACCTCTGCAGGCGTATCCAGCTGCACTCAGTGAAGCAGTTTATTTGCATCATGCTTGAAGATATTGACTTGATATTTTTTTAATATAAAGTTTACACCATTACAAGTTATAGATCAAGTTGGAATTTTGTTCCAATACAATGAATTTTTAACTGGTAGGGGACTATGTATTGCCATGCAATACTCACAGAATGCTTGTTATTATATGAATTTGAGTTATTATATGAATTTTGAGTTATTTCCCTTTAAACAGATATGAGTATTTCATAACAAATTTAATTCTTGGGGTTCTTTGATATGCTAATTCTAACAAAGATTTTAGATTTTGGATATTGGATCATAATAGGTAAATGTCCAATTTCAATTTTTTCAGTTCTTCATGACTACATTCATTTTGGGTCACAAACCTCTGCTGTGTCTCTGCTGTGTCAAATGTTCAATCACAATCCAAATTCAGAGCTGTTATAAGTCCATACTCGCTCAACTGTTCAGGATTCGACCTCTGCAGGAACATCCGGTTTGCTGTCACTCTGACAGCCTCTTGTCTGAATTTACAGTACAGTCAAACCTCATTATGTCGAAGGGACCCAATCTAATTAAAATTAAATCTCCGCACTTGCTCCTCGTTGTTTATATGTCGCGCGTGGGAGATCTAACAACAGCCGCTTGAGGGTCATGTCTAGGGTCAAATTTGCTGTAGCCAATCAGCGAAGGTGCTACAAAGTGTTAGGGATTGGACTGGCATAGGAGTCTTTGTAGCGTCTAGAGGTCTTCCGAATGTATATAAACAAAAATGGCAGCCCCCATGCGAAAAACGTTTCGTAACATACAACTGTAATAATAGTTTGTATTATTGCCTTCCGAGGTTAAAATGGCATCAAGTGAAGTATACACCCCCAAGGAAAATATCAGTATGAACAAACATTTGTGTTTTATGCGGTTTTTCTTTCATCCAGATAGAAATCTCCTCAACGGGAGAACGTGTTGAAAAAAAAAAACTGTTCAAACTGAAACTTCAGCAGAACTCAGAGAGAATCGCAATAATTTCTAGTGTTGTTACTGGTTTTGAAGTAAACGCCGAAGTAGACAATGACAATGGCGTCTGTATTAAATGTTTTAGAAAAGTCCAACAGTCAATCAAATTAAAGAAAGACGCATAAAAAATTCAAGAAGAACTAAGTGACTAACTTCGGGTGTCTTACCACCTGACCAATCAGAAAGATTAATTGCTAATAGATTTGTTAATCTGCAAGGTGGAACAAACAATAATATAAGCTTAGATGAATACTTGAGAGATGTTGAACAAGGATACAAAAGTAACATGTTCAGGACATCAGACAAAGGAAAGTATCCTTCAACACTCTAAAGAGTATCCTCACCTAGTTAATTTTGCAAGCCATTTTGATAACATTACCAATTTAACAGGAAAGAAGGGGTTCCACCATATACGGCATACCAAGCTGATGTTCAGAAAATTGCAAAAGACCTACTACAAGAAAATGTACTACATGTAACATATAAAACTTCAAGAATAATAACAATTAAGTGCAAGGAGCTAAAAAAAGACAAAAACCCATTTGACAGTGCATTTATAGGACTTCGTACATTGATTCATCGCCGTGACATCAACCAACAGTCCCCTTCCATCGCCTTCAAATCCACATATTTGAAAAATATTGCTTGGAATTAAATTATTGTGAATAAATTAAGTGTGCAGGTTTAATTTTCTCTTAAGTCATAACCTTAATTAGCTGGTACTTTTTTAGTCGTTTGTTGCTGATATTAAAGTGTCATAAGTCAATGAGACATCAACCCAACAAACAAAGTAATGAAATACTTTCAGTTTAGTTGCAAAATATCATGGTCATTTTGATTAGGCAGCATAACTACCTACAAAAACATGTTTATAAAAATGTGGCATGATTTCTAATGAGACAACTATTCAAAAGGGACCAACTTATTTTTCTGTATTAAAGTTCACAGTTCCACCTCTGACTTTGAGTAAAACCTATAGCAAGCTGTACAAAGACCCGAAATGACTTTATGAAAACATCAAGCACGTTTGTACAAAACAACAATGAGATAAAAACCAAACTTTTACAGATTTGCAGATATTTACCCTATATGTACATGTACATGTAAAGAGCTGTTGATAAAACTTTAAAAGGTGGTGTTGGTTAAATGTGCTTTCCTGAGTGATGAAGTTATTAGTGCACATTATTTGGTTCAATTTCTATCTTAGTCAAATTAAACACAGTAACTTAATATAATAAAATGCTCTGCTGGGCCCAGCTTGATACGACTGCAGATGTCGAACCCTGAACAGTTGGGGCAAGTATGGACACAACAGTCAAGCTTGATACAGCACTGAATTAGGATTGTGATTAAATATTTGACACAGCATAGGTTTCTGACACAGAATAAATGTGGTCTAAGAACTTATAAATTTTTAATTTACCTATTCAAACACAAGTTATTGACTGGAAACTACAAAAATGCTTGTTTTTTGGCCCCTTTTTTGTTCAAAATTCCTAAACATTTAGGGAAATTATCCCCAAACTCGAACCTTGCTTTCCCTTTGTGATATGGAACCTTGTAGTACAATTTCAGAAAGATCCATACACTTACACACAAGTTATTGTCATGAAACTAGAAAAATACTTGTTTTTTGCCCCTTTTTGGCCCTTAATTACTGAAATTTTGAGGCAATTACCCCCAAAATCAATCCCAGCCTTCCCTTTGTGATATGGAACCTTGTGGTACAATGTCAGAGAGATCCATACACTAACACACAAGTAATGTCTGGAAGTTACAAAAATGCTTATTTTTGGCCCCTAATTCCTGAACTGTTGGTACCATAACCCCCAAAATCAATCCCCACCTTACTTTTGTGGTATTGAACCTTATGGTAAAATTTCATGGAGATCCATTTACTTAAACTAAAGTAAGAGTGTGAAAACCAATGTGTCTTCGGATGACGACGCCAACGTCATACCAATATACGACCGCAAAATTATTTTGTGGTCATATAAAAAAGAAGATGTGGTATTAAGTCTATATTTGACTGTTTCTTTGATGAACACATTGGTCTTGAACAAAGTTGTAAGTAAGATATAGTCCCACTTCATGTTATTGTCTTGAATATGCATGAAATATTTGCCACTGAAACCCAAGTGAAGAAATCAATAATCAATCAACCTGTCAATGTTTATTTTGAGCAAAAATAATCATCCTCTTTGTATACTGTTGGCTACACCAAGTTAAATGCAATGAGTTTGCTATATAGAACAAATATAACATCATCAAGAACAATGAACAAAAAGGTCAAAGTCATACATATGAACCATGCCAAAACTTAGCACAAAAGGACATACATCAATAGCAATAATTCTATACACCAAAGATAGTTGACTTGTTGATCAATAAACCATGAAAAGTCAAGGTCAGAAACCAACCAGAGTGATTTTTATAGTTCGTTCCTGTGTTGTACTGTTAAACCACTGTCCAAGGTTAGGATCCTGCTAACATATTTAACCCTGCCACATTCTGTATGTATGTGCCTGTCCTAAATCAGGAGCCTTAGGTAATTCAGTGGTTGTCGTTTGTTTATGTGTTACATATTTGTTTTTCGTTCATTTTTTGTACATAAATTAGGCCGTTAGTTTTCTTGTTTGAATTGTTTTACATTTGTCATTTCAGGGCCTTTTATAGCTGACTATGCGGTATCGGCTTTGCTCATTGTTGAAGGCCGTACAGTGACCTATAGTTGTTACTTTCTGTGTCATTTGGTCTCTTGTGGAGAGTTGTCTAATCATGCTCATTGGCTATCATTCCACATCTTCTTTTTTATATAACATGGACATCTTACAATAATTCCACACCAAATATATTTTTCTGTTTGTTTATCATGTTTATAGTAATCGAGATGCAGACTTGACCCCGAATATATGCTTGTTTCATGAAATGAGGTCAAGATTAGGCGAATCTGCAACCATATCTGACAGACATGACAGACATGGCAGACATGGTTTTTGTCGAGCCTGCGACTTTTGTCGCAGAAAGCTCGACATAGGGATAGCGATCCGGCGGCGGCGGCGGCTACGGCGGCGGCGGCGGCAGCGTTAGCTAACTTCTTAAAAGCTTTATATTTTAGAAGATGGAAGACCTGGATGCTTCATACTTTGTATATGGATGCCTCATGTTACGAAGTTTCCGTCAGTCACATGTCCAATGTCCTTGACCTCATTTTCATGGTTCAGTGACTACTTGAAAAAAAAGTTCAGATTTTTTGTAATGTTAAATTCTCTCTTATTATAAGTAATAGGATAACTATATTTGGTATGTGCGTACCTTGCAAGGTCCTCATGCCCGTCAGACAGTTTTCACTTGACCTCGACCTCATTTCATGGATCAGTGAACAAGGTTAAGTTTTCGTGGTCAAGTCCATATCTCAGATACTATAAGCAATAGGTCTAGTATATTCGGTATATGGAAGGACTGTAAGGTGTACATGTCCAACTGGCAGGTGTCATCTGACCTTGACCTCATTTTCATGGTTCAGTGGTTATAGTTAAGTTTTTGTGTTTTGGTTTGTTTTTCTTATACTGTATGCAATAGGTCTACTATATTTGGTGTATGGAATGATTGTAAGGTGTACATGTCTAGCTGACAGGTGTCATCTGACCTTGACCTCATTTTCATGGTTCAGTGGTCAAAGTTAAGTTTTTGAGTTTTGGTCTTTCTTTCTAATACTGCATGCAATAGGTCAGCTATATTTGGTGTATGGAATGATTGTAAGGTGTACATGTCTAGCTGGCAGGTGTCATCTTACCTTGACCTCATTTTCATGGTTCAGTGGTCAAAGTTAAGTTTTTGAGTTTTGGTCTTTTTTTCTAATACTATATGCAATAGTTCAACTATATTTGGTGTATGGAAATATTTTATGATCTATATGTCAGTCACGCAGGTTTTATTTGACCTTGACCTCATTTTCAAGGTTCATTGCTCAGTGTTAAGTTTTTGTGTTTTTGTCTGTTTTTCTTAAACTATAAGCAATAGGTCAACTATATTTGTTGTATGGAAGAATTGTTAGCTGTACATGCCTGCCTAGCATGGTTCATCTGACCTTGACCTCATTTTCATGGTTCATTGGTCAATGTTTAGTTTACTTGGTTAATGTTAAGTTTATGTGACAGTTGTAATAAAGCTTTATATTTAGGACTATCAACATAATATCAATGATTAGTAAAGAAGGCGAGACATTTCAGCGTGTGCACTCTTGTCTCTTTTGAATTTTTTCATATTTTTCTGGTCGGGGCCTTTTGTAGCCGACTAAAGGCATGGGTTTTTCTCGTTGTACTACAATTGCTTATATCAAGTTATTGAAAAGTCTGGAGGGTAGTTGTCTGATTGGCAATCATACCGCATCTCTTTATTTTTAAGATGAAAACAAGTAAATATCTTATGATGTGTGTCAATCAGTTACTGTCTCATTTGTTTTTATACGCTACATGTACATCTCTTTTTAGTCACATTGACAGCTGCAGGCATGACATGAACCCAGATCTAGAGTGGCACAATCAATACAGCAATTGTAAGGGGGTTAAAAGTCAAATATATTTGAAGAGTCTAAAGTTGAATAAGTTACAGAAACCAGATACTGAAAAATTAAATAAATAAATATCAACTGTTTTAATCATCTTGTATTTCTAATAAAGCCATATCAAGATCTTCGAAGTATTTATAGGCAGACAAATTGTAGTCTTCAGTATCGCTATCTGAAACAGCAGAATCTTCTTGCTCCTCGAGCTCCTCAACAACTTGTTCTGACAAAAATAACTTCTCAAGAGGTAACATATCACAGGATTCACAATTACAAGACTTAGTACACAAGTCACAGCATGAATGTTTCCTGCTTTCTTTCTTCATCAAATCATCCAAGTCTGAATTTCTGAGGAAATTACACATCAGATCCTTTCTCCTACAATCTTTAGCTTTAAGAATTGCCTTAACTTCCGGTTTCAACTTCTGCAAGTGGTATCCATTGTATATGATAATGGCAACTGATGGATTTCCATCCCTCCCCACTCGCCCTATTTCTTGCAGCAAATCTACCAGATTATTTGGAGGTCCAAATAATACCACTCCACTACACTTTTTTACATCTAAACCCATTCCCAGGGCACTGGTTGACAAAATAAGTCTCAAAACACTACTTTCCTCCTTCAATGCATTAATTATGATGTTTTTGTTAACATCTGGAGTTTCAGAATGGAACATCTCAATATACTTGGCACAATGTGGCAATTCTGTTACAATGTATTTATAAAGTTTGGAAGTGTCATTTATCGATTAACAATACAAAAGTGTACGTGGGAAGTCCTGACTTTTTTCCTCTAATGCATCTACTAACCATGTCATTCCCATTTCAATTTAATTTTTAATTTTGGAAGATACTAGTTTAATATTAGACTTGTTTGGTGATAAATTAATTTCTGTTGTGTCCTCCGCTAGCTGCAATATTTTCATGACCTTTTTTCCTAAAGCTTACAGTGTAAGTTGCACTTAAAGCCAATACTGTAGCATCGGAAAAGAGGGATCTTAGTTCACCTACATTTGAAAACCATTTTCGAAAAGCCTTTTTTTCTGTCTCCTTCATCTTGGCCCCTGAAAGAAAAATAGAAATAAGTACTTCTATAAAAACTTTTATAAAAGGTAAATATCAGCACCTCTTGCCTAGATTGTTAATTCTTATGGCAAAACAAAATTAAATACATGTATGTGCTTGTCCATATTGTTATGTAACAGCCTATCATTCAGTGGTTGTTGTTGGTTGCTGTCTATCACATTTGTTTAGGGTTTTATTTTTCATACATTCTTATAATTACATTGTTATGGTTCATCATTTTGCAAATAGTGGTCTTAAAAGAGCTTACTTTTTAGTATTAGGTTATCTCGTTCTTGAAAGCTGTACAGTTCTGTACCAGTGGTCTTAATTTTTTACTTCTATATTTTTGAAAATCTAAATTCATAAAAATGGGAAGGGAGTACACATCAATATATAGAAACAATTCATCCAAGTTTCATGCAAATTAGTTGAATAGTTTTTGAGTTACTGACAGGTTGACGATTGACAGACAGTCACAGGTTAGGGGAGGGTTGGGATCCCGCTTACATGTTTAACCCCGCCACATTCTGTATAGTGCCTGTCCCAAGTCAGGAGCCTGTAATTCAGTAGTTGTCATTTGTTTAAGTGTTACATACATTTGTATTTGTTTTTCGTTCATTTTTCATGCATAAATTAGGCCCTTTGTTTTCTCGTTTGAATTGTTTTACATTGTCATTTCGGGGCCTTTATTTATATACATGTAGACAACGGTAATACGTCCTGTAAATGTGCGAATAGAAATGAACATGGGGAATAAACATTGTATCCACTTACCAAATTGCTATTGTGTGAAACTCATCAATTACAACCAACTTAATGTTCAACTTCTTTAAACAATAGGGATCACCAACCATTGTTTCTGGAGATGCAAAAATGACATCTATCAACCCCTCTTTGATTTGATCGTCACTCTGGGGAAGATGATCCTAAAATGCAAAAAAAAATGTAGGTGGGCAGTCTCCAAAAAGACATATTTCTATGATAACTTCTATAATTTAAATGTACACTGTACAAATACCCTTTCTCGATCTCACTGCGTTTGATTAAAGATTGAAATCCAATGAAATAATTCTTATTGTTGTAAAGTCCATTACAGAAATGAATATACATGTAGCTGAGATTTCAATGAATGCATGGCATATTTTCTCGATTTTGAGATGTTTCTGCCAATGTATCTGTTTGGCCATCCAACATTTGTCCAACAAGGTCTTTTAGACCACTTTTTCATATTTTTTTTTTATTTTTTCATTGTTTAACACAAACATGAAAAATAACAATCTAATTTAAAAATTTCCCGCACGTTTCTGAGCCACGTAAAGCTGATTATGCTGTATGATTTTGCTCATTGTTGAAGGTCAGATGGTGACCTATAGTTGTAAACTTTGTCATTTGTTGTCTGGTGGAGAGTTGAGTTGGCAATTTTACTACAAGTCTTGTACATGTACGACATCTTCTTATTCTTATATGCATGTATATTTGTTTTGAGATAGATTATTAGTACATGTAATTAACAACATTTCCCTTGGACTCTGGCGCTTCATTAATACAACATGTAGTATGAAGAACTAGCATTATGGCCAAAACGACTGTAAAATACTGGCAATATGACCAATACAATCTGTTCTCGGTGAAATGAGACAAATTTATGTGCTACCATGGCTATGATCACTTTTTTTTTAACTTTGCTCATGTATATTTAAGTTTCATATTACTGCTTTGTTACTATTAGTCATGTGTATGTGTTGATATACTGAAGTTTAAATGTATGATCCTGCAAATAAATTTTATTTTATTTGATAAGGCATACATGTACATCTTTGCCTGGTCAGATGCGGATCCAGGACTATGGAAAAGAGGGCCCTGCATCTAGACACCATAAGGTGTGGGAATAACGTCTTAAGACATTTTTGTAAGATAGAGGCATTGCATTAATTATATAAGTAGCTCCAACACCATAGGCGGATCCAGGGGGGCCTAGGCCCCCCTTTTGTGGTAAAAATTTAGTTGATTATATAGGGAATCACTGAAGCATGACTGGAGCGGGCCCCCTCTTAGGTCAGTCAGTGGGCCCCCCTTACAAAAAGTTCTGGATCCGCCATTGTACAGGGGGATAACATGTCACCCCCTAACTGATCATGTGTTATAAACATCTTTATTATACAACACTGCCAACATAATAGTTATAATATAAATTAGGTGTTTAATGGCATTAAATACTATAGTATAGACTATTCCATTTATTGAAGCCTTACTACCACTGCATGCTTAAAGTTATACTAACCTTTGTATGCAGCAGTAATATTTCCAATGTGCGAGAGTTTTTCCACCTGGTCCTGCATCAGAGCTACTAAGGGAAAACAGACTAAAACTTTTCAGTCAGAACTGTTTTCAATAACCTCCCGGCCAACTGGAAGGTACAGTTGAAACGGCAGTGACTTGCCAAAACCAGTCGGGAGTACAGCCACGCACTTCTTCTTGTTAACTAAACACTCTTAAATTTCCTTTTGCTCCTTCTTTATATCATTTATACCAAATTTTGGCAAAACTTTTGTCAAAACGTTGTCCAAACTGGGCGCATCCATGTTATTTAACGATCCGATAATGGTATACAAGCCCGTCGCTGATTGGTTACCCGAAATTGATTTTCTGCACGCTGATTGGTCGGTCAAAGTTCACCAAATTTGACCCTAGACATGACCCTCAAGCGGCTGTTGTTAGATCTCCCACGCGCGACATATAAACAACGAGGAGCAAGTGCGGAGATTTAATTTTAATTAGATTGGAAGGGACCAGACCAAAGTATTTGACTGATCCGAGGTTCGACTCATCCGATAATTTCAATTATAAAGATTCATTTAATCTCGGCTTGGGTCTATTAAATTCGTTTCAAATTTATGGCAGGTGAAATATGTTCAACACACTAACGTTGGCCAATCAACACAGGTGTTAATTACCAGTCACCATAAACATGTCGTTTTAACTGTTATACAAACAAGTATATTTACTCAGCTTTAATCTCTTTAGAAAAATTAATAGGTTACATAAGAAATACATACGATTTGAATTTTTCTCATTATGTCCACATCTTTTGAAAATTCTTACTTTCGAACTTCGAGACCTCAGGATTAATTTACATTAATTTTACATCGACGGGACTATAAAATTTACTTGACTTAAATGTGTATTAGAATCAATCGAGTTGGTCTCATCAAAGGAATTTATGCATTGATCAAACGGGAATTCTACCAGGACCAAGAAATTACTTCGACATTTCCGTGTTGTCAACACAACTGAGTTCGACATATGAACTTCAGACTATGTTCCTGGATCAGTATAATTCTTTCTAATTGATCTATCAGTAACCATTTGTCAATCTAACACAGAGACATTGATTGTATAAAATGAATAGCTGAAAATCTCAAAGGGGCATAACTGAATTTCTCAGTAGCAACTAAAATTCATGTACTGGGGGTATTAGTCCCACTATGTAGACAGCCATAGTTGATATTTGTGAACAGAAAATCTTAGAAATCAGTACATAAAATTGTACGTCAAGCTTAACTGAGGTACTATTAACAAGATAATAAGTGTTAATCCAAAGTGTATGAAAGTATGTTTCGATACCTTTTATATATTTGATTAAGAGCAAATTATCACACTGCCTGTCCAGGAAGAATTTATAATTCAATATTTTTTAGAGGAAAATATTCCATTCAAGACAAAAAGTCTCTTGGCACTAAAAAAGGGGGAAAATAAGTCATATGCTGAAATCTCAGGTTATTTGAGGACACAGAGAGAGTATTGTAAAATCTTGGGAGAGCTCTCTAATTCCTAGCTGTGACCCCCCAAAAGACATGATCAATTGACATGTATGCTGTTTCCAGCAGTGTTATAGGAAACAGCATCAGAATTGTATTAGTGTTTTATTTGGGTCACTTGAAGATGAACCCCTCTTGATATGTCAATGGTATTTGGTATGCAATTGTATTAGCATTTGCATGTTTTATTTCCATGCAGATGATATGGCCTAGCCCCCTTATCATGGTTCTTTGGATTTGAAACATTTTTATAGTTTACATGTTAAATTTTGTGTTTTTCATGCAGTTTAAATAGAACCACTTACAATGAGTCAATATATGGTATTCGGTATGCAGTTGTATTAGCATTGGCATTTTTGTTTCGTCAGAGGTTATTTGGCCCTGCACCTTCAGTTATGGTTAATTGACTATGCATGTTTTGCATATTGTAAGTTGAGAAAATTTTGTATGCATATATTAAAGCAATTTTTGTAAAATGGACAAAAATGAAAGATTAATATTGCAATTTTTGTAACTAAATGCTGCAAGCAAATAATGCTATATGAATTCAAAGCACAAGTTTTTTGTATGTTATACATGTACCTATATACCCTGTCACAATTTTTGCAATAATGAAACATATTTGAAAAGTTCTGAATTTACAGGCAAGACATATCTCTGTGACAACAGTTTATTGTTTTTCATGTATGTTACATTTAATGTATATATATATATATATATGTTCTGCAGGAGCTGATGGCCATGATACACCATATGTCACTTATGCATCAATCCTATCAAAGGAGATCTCACAAGAACTGCAGAATGACAAATTCAGCATGCATGAATTATATATCGTCACCAGTGAATGGGGTATGGCTTTAGCAGTTACTGATCAGCTTGACAAAGAAATACTGTTCTCACCATGTACTTCTTTTCAAAGACGAAAGCGTCAAAATAAAGATACTACTGATGGAACTGATGTTGATAAAGATGGTAAACGAAATAGAAATAGCACGACTGGAGCAATACCAAAGTCAGGAACTGGGAAACTTGGCACTACAGTAAAGGGTGGAAATTTGGAAGATTGTGTGATTTGTATGGATACACCTGATGACCCCAGGAGACTTCAATGTGGTCATGTATATTGCCATAATTGCATCAGCCAGCATTTTAAAGTAAATAATCCTGTCTGTCCAACATGTGGTTCCATACAAGGTGTTGTAACTGGTAACCAACCACCTGGTACCATGAAAATATCTAGAAGATTTAGCCACTTAGCTGGTTATCCTGAATGTGGACGAATTGAAATTGAATATATAATTGATTCAGGAAGACAAGGGGTATGTTAGCTTGAATCTAAAATTTTCTAGCAATGTTGAAATTTGTTGGAAACCAGTTTAACATAGATTTTTACATTGGTTGCAATGAACTACTGTAAAGTCTCAGTGAAGTAAAAAACTGATAAATTCACTCATCTAATGTCATGCAGCAATATTGGTTTTGACGTTGCATCAAAATGAATTGAGAATGCAAAGTGAAAGATATAGATCCTTGCAGTTGGTACTGTATTTGTATTAATATAAATAAAAAAAACAAGCAATTCAAGAAATCTAATACTGAAAAAAAAGAGAGGTGAAAGAACCAAAGGGAATTTATACTCATTAGTCGAAAACAAACTGACTGTGCCTTAGCAAAAAACAAAATAAAGACAAATAGAACACAAAACACAACAATGAATATTACAGAATGAGAAACACAAACCTAACCAAGGCCATGGGGGTGATCTTAGGTACTCCAGAATGGTATGCAGATACTGTTCAACTCGCAACACCCAACATAAATTACCGATAATTAATGCATATGTTATTCCCCGAGGGTATCACCAGTCCAGTAGCCAGTACTTCGGTACTGGCATGAAAATACGGATTTTGTGTTATTAAAATTTGCTGTTACAAACTTTTCGAAATTATTTAAAATTAAGGAATGTATCTCCCTCATGCAAAGCTCTGATTCCTTGCCCAGCTTTGGCTAGACTTTTTGTCCTTTTTGGTTTATTGCTCTTCATGTTTTTAATAAGCTTTAGATTTTCAAATATTTTGGCCTCGAGCATCACTGAAGAGACATTGATTGTTGAAATGCGCATCTGGTGCAGAAAAATTGGTACAGTTTATGTTATTAAACCCACTATGAAATAATTTGCTATTTTGTCACCTGTTGAATATTATTCTATATATGAATTCTAGGATTAGTTTTTATACGCCCGTCAATTTTTGACGGGACATATTATGGTATACAAATGTCTGGTGTCCGTCCATCTGTCCGTCTGTCTGTCTGTCTGTCCGTCTGTCCGTCTGTCTGTACGGCGTCAACATGTCGCACCGTAACTTGAGAATGACTTAAATAAATTTCATTAAACTTAACATAGTTGTTTCTTATGATGGTCAAACAATCTGTATACTTTTTGGTGAAAATAAGATTAAAACTTTTTGAGTTACGGGACTTAGTAACTTAAACAGGTGTGTGTTTTTTTTCACATGTCGCGCCGTATCTCAAAAACAATTTATGATTATTGCTTTAAACTTTACACACTTCTTAGTTATATTAATCTTAAGATCTGTATACTTTTGGTGATGATTCAAAATTTTATTTTAGAGATATTGAGTATTTTGTTAAAAAAGGGGAAGGGGTTTTTCACATGTTGCGCCGTATCTCAAAAACAGTTTATGATTATTGCTTAAAACTTTACACACTTCTTAGTTATATTAACCTTAAGATCTGTATACTGTTTGGTTTTGATTCAAAATTTTATTTTAGAGATATTGAGTTTTTTGTAAAAAAGAAAAGGGGGTTTTCGCCGTATGTCAGAAACTATTTATGCTTATTGCATAAAAATTCACACACAAGACGACGGTCGAATCATGCGCTGATGGCGCAGCTGTTTATTTTATTTTAATTCCCATACTTTTTTCAAATACTATTATTCTAATTCTTTCCTAAAAGAAAAACATTAAGATAAAACATAAACTAATTACTGAAGAGTTACCTAACTAAGGACAGGCACTTCATTAGTGAATCCTGGATTGATGAATTTTAAAAATTCATTTCAATTGTTGAAAAAATACAAATATCTTGATATGATGACACCAAAACATGATAATTTTTACATGCCTTTGAATTCTTTATAGCCAGAACATATAGAGGAAGGACGTAGGTTTGAAGGTATAAGAAGAATAGGATATCTACCAGATAATAGGAAAGGACAATTAGTGGCAAAGATGTTAAGAGTAGCATTTGACAGGAAGTTGGTATTCACCATTGGTGATTCTCGTACAACTGGAAAACAAGGAGTTGTAACATGGAATGATATCCACCATAAAACAAACCCAAAACCATATGAACAGTATGTATAAAAGATTTGTGTCTTTGTCAACAATTAGTTATAGGCATGCTGCTGTAGCCATGCTATCAGAAACAAGTATATTCACTTGTCAGTCTCATATGATTTCTTATACCTAGACCATTTGTTTACAATATTCATTGATGAAAAGGGAGCTTCATATCTGTTCATGTGCTATAATCTTGAAGATGTGGTATGGGTCTGACTTAGTGTAGAGTCTTTTATGGTTTTTGGGATGGAAATAAATATTGATAAATTTCTCTAAAACTTTCCAATTGAAATTCCCCACTTTGGACAAAAATCAGGCTACTTCAACTTTCACCATGAGTTTTTATTTCTTCATGATAATTTATTTAAAGAATCTAGTGCAGTCTGAGCAATTACTGCTTATTGGATTCAGTAAAATTTTTTGAAACAGTGCTAGTTTTAAAGCCGACTTATGATTAAGTATAATGAAAAAGCAAAATAGGTTGTTCTGCAAATCAGTCATCATAAGTGAAGAGATTTACTTTTCATGTTTGAAATTTATATTTTCATAGTAGCTGCAATTCACCTTTCAAATATGCTATTGTTTAGCATACTCCTGATGATTGATCATGATTATGAAGTTCCATTGAAAATTTAGTTACATTGACATTTAATATGTATGATTGATTCCTTCATACACTTGTGTTAATGTCCAAACCAAAGTATCGCTTATAAAAGTAAAGCTTATAAGGGGGTAATCCTTTTTGTAAAACACTTCACAATTTTTTAAAGACTATCCTAAGTCAGGAACCTGATGTTCAGTGGTTTTCGTTTGTTGATGTGGTTCATAAGTGTTTCTCTTTTTTATATAGATTAGACCTATTTTGAATGGTTTTACACTAGTCACTTCTGGGGCCCTTTATAGCTTGCTGTTCAGTTTGAGCCAAGACTCCGTGTTGAAGACTGTACTTTGACCTATAATGGTTTACTTTTACAAATTGTGACTTGGATGGAGAGTTGTCTCATTGGCACTTATACCACATCTTCTTATATCTTTATATGAACTTAAACCCATTGCTTCTTTTACAATGAAAATGAACCAAGAACACTTTATGCTCCCTCGCCAGAAGTGGATACTTTATTGCATTTACTTTGTTTCTCAGTTCATCGTTCAGTCTGCAAGTCCATACGATTTTCATTCTAAAGCTTTAAAAATTGTCTTTCAATTGTATATCTTAATAATTTACCAGTTTGAATAATTTAATTTGTATTATATAAGTATTGATAGAAAGTCTATATTTGTTGTATGTAATGGCAAATGTTAACTAAGGTTGCGTTGAGATTTGACTTTAACTTTAAATTTTTCAATAGTTTTATCGTATTTTATCAGATTTGGATACCCAGATGATTCCTACTTGGATAGAGTTATTGATGAGCTCTCTGCTAAAGGTGTCACAGAAAAAGATATAGGACCAAACACGCCCATTTACTAGAACATGTAGAAAGGATTTCCTTATAACATTGAAAGGTATTTGAAGAAATTTATTGGGCATTTATTTCTCAGTATGTTAGATTACCTGCTTGTTATAGAAACAATAATAGCTTTTTTTAAGAATAAGGCCAAGGTAAGCATGAATAAAACAGACTGAAAAAGATGTGTAATCCATCTTAAATCATACAATCTTAATAAATAGTGAGATTGTGTTCATCCACAGAGTAACTTTCCCCTGTTATCCCCTGTTATAGCACGTATCACCTATCAATAGATTCTGAATTCACATTCAGTAGTGACTAATTAAACTGATATTAACTGTTAAATGTTATAAGACATGTAAGACATATAAAGCAGAGAAATCTGTTGTAACTGATAGTTTTGTGTCCAGCAACAAGCTTAGAACAAAGTGTTTAACTTTCAAATAATTGGTGTAATCTAAGATTCCTAGGAAGTACAAGTTAATGACAACCAGAATGTTTTGTTACAAAGGATCATGAAGTTTTATCAAACTTTCATGCACGTATGATTTACTTTACAAATACATATATATTATTCTTTTAGATTGGCCAGGCTGTTGAAGAAACGGCTCAAGAAATGGAAGTAACAGTACAAGTTTGGAAAGATATAAGAATCCTGGACAAACATTTATTTAATTTTTAGTTAGAGATTATACAATAGATTACTTTTCAATCATTCATAACTTTTATACAAGAAAGGCAGGCAATATGTATTGAATAAAACATTTATCACTAATTTATTGGTTGCTCAGTGTCAGTACTGTTTTAAAAAACAAATAATGCAATAACAGCCACTTGAGAGATGCCTTCACATATGTAAATGGATTAACCTGTAAGATTTGTAATTTAACTGTATAACCAAGAAAGCTTACATGTCATTTCTTATATTTTTTATTATCTATTTTAAATTGTTATGGGTCAGTTTTTTGTTTGCCGAGTTTTTGCTGTTTATAACTTAGAAATAACAATGTTTATGCATATATTGATATATATTTGCTTATCTACCAAATTCAATTTAAACTTTAAAAAAGATTAGGCGACAGTCATGAATGTTGTTTGTAAAGTCATTTTAAGCAAGCAAAAGCTTCATTTATCTATGGGTTTTATAAGTAAATTGGATTTCAAAATTTCAACAATTTTAAGAACCATAACTTCAACAATGAGCAAAGCCTATACCGCATTGTCGGTTATAAAAGGCCCCTAAATGACAAATGTAAAACAATTCAAACGATAATACTGACAACCTTATTTATGTACAAAATAGTGAACGAAAAACAAATACCTGTATGTAACACAGCAACAAACCACAGCCACTTAGTTACAGGCTTCTGACTTGGGACAGGCACAAACGAAATGTGGCGGTCTTAAACATGTTAGCAGGAGCCCATTTTGTCCCCTAACCTGGGACATTGGTGTAACAGTACAACATAAGAACAAACTATAAAAATCAGTTGAAATAGGCTTAACTCATCAGATGGATACAAATAGAAATACATCTAACAAAAACACAGAGTGGACGTGGCTAGGTACTTGTACACCCAAACAACAAAAAGACACTAACTACAGATCTGAGAGTACTAGCAGTTAGTGACAGCTAGTTCAAAGCTTATAACAATAGATAAAAACATATCATGCATCTAAGATTAATATATGTAGATTATATATATGTGTTGGGTTTATATAAAATATTTATGCTTTTTCATGCTTGAGTATCTGTCTAATTGATTGTTTACCAATGTAGTCTTTTAATTTTTAAATGATGAAAATATTTTGATTTAAACTGTAGCCATCAATGATCACTTACTATAACCAGACATCTGTTTACTAATCATGCAAGAACATACACTTTTGCATACAAGACATCTTGAATTGTTATTCTCTTTCTATTACTAATTTTTTAAGAAATATATATATTTATTGTTTTATTTACAACTGCAAAAAATAAAATTTTGGGTTCGTAAATTGCTATCATGTCATAGTTTTTGTAGTAGTCGTAAGCGTCGTCATCGTCTGAAGACATTTGGTTTATTTATGGACAATAACTTTAGTTTAAGTGTATTGATCTCAATGAAATTTTACCAAAAGGTTCAATACCACAAAAGGAAGGTTGGGATTGTTTTTTGGGGTGATGGTCCCAATCGTTTAGGAATTAGGTGCCCAAAACAAGCATTTTTCTAGTTTTAGGACAACAACTTGTGTATAAGTATTTTGATTGCTCTGAAATTATACCACAAGTAGAAGGTTAGGATTCATTTTAGGGGTAATTGCCCAAACTGTTCAGGTATACGGCGCCAAAAAGGGTCTAAAACAAGCATTTTTCTAGTTTTCAGACAATTACTTGTGTTTTTGATAAGAGGGGGGATTTTTGGGGGGTAAATTATTTTTCCTCAAGATTTAAAAAATAGTAAATTTTCTAAAGAAAAATTAGGTGTCACAATTAGCTTTGCTTATTCTTTGTATATAGTCTGAAAATATACTAAGTATTGCACAACAGCTCAGTGTATTGCAGAAAAGCAAGAAATCTTCAATTGAATATACTTCAAATCATATAACCAATTTCAAGTTCTCTGACTACATTTATTCAGTGTCAGAAACCTATAATGTGTCAAATATTTAATTACAATCCAAATTCAGACCTGTATCAAGCTTGAATATTGTGTCCATTTTTGCCCCAACGATTCAGGGTTGGACCTCTGCAGTCATATCCAGCTGTGCTCTGCAAAGCAGTTCCTTGTACATTGTCAAAAACAATAAACAAGATGGCATCACGAGGCAGATGATCCCAATTTGATAATTATCCAAAAATAAGGTCAAATGATTCAGAAATAATGTTACCTCACTGTGATACATACTTTTTAAATGTTTCTTTAAATGATATTTAGATTTGTGTTTAGAATATTTTTAGAGCATTTTCCATGTTGGCCCTGTTATCAGCCCTAGGCTATGTCCTCTGGCTTGATATTGGAGTCTGAGGCTGATGCTAGTGCTTGATTGTACTGATCTTTATACAGATTGAAGCTATAGTGAAGGGAAAGAGTCATTTTAATAAAAGGGTCAAACGGTCAATGGTGAAGGTCACTGATATTTAAAATTGAAGAGGAAACAAATGAAAAAAAATGGTTTCCTGCTGGTAACAATGGTTTCCTTTACTTGATTATATTGAAATCATACAGTTGGACAAGTTTGGAAAGCAAAATAGGCATATTGATTTTTAGATAAAAGGTCAAGCTCACTGTTTGGAAATATGGTTTGATAATTGTAACTGGAGTTTTCATGGTATGATTAGAATAAAACTTGCTCAAATTGAAGATGTAGGAAAGGGGAAGCAACCTTTTAGGATTAATGCTGTAAATGTCAAGGTCACTGAAATTTTACTAATAAGAACACTTCTTCAAATATATGATTTAAAGATAGCAGACTGAGTTTTCCCTGCTTGTGTTATTAGTCCCCTACCGACGAAGTCGAAGAGGAATTTATGTTTGCACTCTGTCCGTCCGTCCGTCTGTCCCTCTGTCAGTCCGTCA